ACGCAGTACAGACACAAAGCGGAACTGCGGGGTGACAGAGATAAAAAGTGAGGTAAAGGTCAGATAAGTCACTGGACTGTGTATGGATTCTCGATTGAGTTTCCGATAGACATATATCCTTTATTTTTATTTTTGGAAATTTTTATCCATGAATTATGAGGCATTGTTTCGCGCAGAGATTGAAACATTATTTTGTCCATTTTTCAAAAAAAAATCAATTATTTTTTTATATTTTTTAATTATTTTAATATATTAATATAAAAAATAAATTTTAAAAGATTAAAAAATATATTTTAATATATTTCTTATTAAATTAGCCACCCCCATAAAATTATTGCATGTTTAGGGTCGTACTACGCTTTAGTCAATTAAATATCTAAAATATCATTCTCTAGACAAATATCATCTCTCCATTCCATGTGGGTTGTTGCTAGGAATACGTTTGATAATATGATAAGGTATGATTTAAACTAAATTTTGTACTGGCTATAATTTTAAAAGTTTTTATTAATAATGCATACCATAGCTTTACATTAATTTTACTAAAACCTTTTCTATTAAAATTTTAATTAAAAAAACTATGATCCAAACTACCATCTTGTTTTAGCATTAGAATTGTTATAAGAATTTGTTTAGAAATGTGATTATAGTTATTTTTTATGTTGAAATATATTAAAATAATATTTTTTATTTTTAAAAAATTAATATATTAAAACAATTCAGAATATATAAAAAAATATTTTTAATAAAAAAATTGAATTTTTTAGAAATTAAAGTTAGCCCGCGTACGGTAAAACGAGTTGGGTTGGAGTGAATATATAGAACAATATTGAGAGAGAAAAATGCTTACCAATTAGCTAGCGAAGCCGTGAAGGGAGGTAGAACTTGAACATCATCGATATTACCTAACACAGAATGGAAGAACGCTGATAATTGAATTTGAACTGTAATGAGTGAAAAGAATGAGGAAATTCCAGAAATAATTGAAGAATTTCCTTGATGAAATTGAAATTATCATTTAACTAGGTATCATAAACCCTTAAGCCAGTTTGGTTAGCTACCCAAACCAGAGCTTCACCCATGATCCAAAAGAACTTCCATCATCAGGATCGTAAGTGCCGTCGTATTGGAGAACGGGTACATGTTTCACTATCCAGTAGTCTTGGCCATTATTGGGTGAAAATCTCTCATTGAACTCATCTGACATCTTTGCCAGTGATAGCTGTTCGAGATTTTCCAAGTGTTGTATCCCAGAAGGCACTTCCTTCAGACTCTGGCAAAAACCTATCTCTAGTTTTTCAAGAAGCGGAATTGCTCCTTGGTCTGTTATCATTGCATTCAATTCAGTCAAGCCTGCAAGACGTAGAGACTTGAGTTTCTGAAACCCTCTTCCTTCAAAATGCATCATCTCTTCGTAGTATCCACGAAGGAACCTAAGAAATCTTAAATTGGGCAAAGCTTGTAGGACTTTAATCGAATCACCACCCGTCAACATGGTACCAGTGAATCTCAATTTAGCTAGATTGTGCAGTCTGGAAATCCACTCAGGCAGCCTTTCTAATTTCCCCTAAAGAATGAGAGATTGGAGGCGAAGAGGTGGAGAAGACATTGCCTGCAAGTCAAGAATTGCAACCCCAGAATCCTCTGAAGCAACCCAAAGCGACCGCCGGTGAGGCATATTCTCTAGCGCAACGCATAGGTCCCTTCCACATTCAGTTTTCATATTCACGATCCCCAGTTTCCTCAATCGCTTCAACATCCCAATCTCATTAATTAATTCCCGTTCACAAAAAAATATTAGAAAAATATTAATTATATATTTTTTTAAAAATATATAATTAAAAAACACAGACTACCACACTCACAACCTGTTCTAAATGGTAGATTGAAGGCTACAAAGACGGCTGTCCTCCGTGCAAGAAAAAATTAAAAAAATTAATTTAAAATAAAAAAATAAAAAGAAATAAATTTATTTTAAAATACTTTTGATATAAAAAAACAAATAAAATAATTAGAACGTGTTCGATCCCTCCATTCTTATCCGTTTTACTGTGCTGTCTTGTTTGTTTATCTCACAGGTTCTCAGGTAATTTGGGCAATTAATGTAGAAAGTAAAAAGAATAGAAGAATCAACAGGGCAGCAAAATTTCTGAATGAAGTATTACCGTGCTACACCCACTCTTCCCTCTGGACGTTGTTCTTAAAGATTATTAAAAAATTTATTTTTATTTTAATATTTTTTAATTATCACACATTTAATATTAAAATAACAATCCTAATAATAAATCATTCATAAAAATCCAATTCTGATAAAAAAAAAACAGATAAAATAATTAGAACGTGTTCGATCCCTCCATTCTTATCCGTTTTACTGTGCTGTCTTGTTTGTTTATCTCACAGGTTCTCAGGTAATTTGGGCAATTAATGTAGAAAGTAAAAAGAATAGAAGAATCAACAGGGCAGCAAAATTTCTGAATGAAGTATTACCGTGCTACACCCACTCTTCCCTCTGGACGTTGTTCTTAAAGATTATTAAAAAATTTATTTTTATTTTAATATTTTTTAATTATCACACATTTAATATTAAAATAACAATCCTAATAATAAATCATTCATAAAAATCCAATTCAAATTATACTTGTGTTCTTAAATTTTTTAAATAAATTATAAACATGATTTTATCTCGTCTATTTATTTTTCAATTACAAATAAAATATATATTTTTTTAACTTGCATGAACAGTCATAAATAATTTTTTAATAAATAAAAATTAGGGTAAAATGACCTTGGGTGCACTAAAATAAATAAGAAATATTTATAAAAAAATTATTTTAACAAGAAATTTCGAAATTTTGAAAATAAAAACCAAAAACTTGATTGTCTCTTTACTTGCTTTTCATCGAGAAGAAAGAAAAACTAGCAGCCACTGTCGCAGTTTTTGAAAACCACTCCCTTCGATTCTGAAAAAGTTTAATGACTGTCGCTGGCTTCTTGTGTTTTTAAGTTAAAAACAAAAAACTTGTCAAGTCTGCTGTCATATCACGTGTAAAGTTTAATTTAATTTCACGTAACTTGTTATAATTTTTACATGTTAACTAAAATATTAATATTTAATCAAATTAATAATTATTTTACCCTTAACTTATAATGTTTTTTAAGGTATGCTTGAGAGGTTGATTAACTCCTATTTCTAAAAAGCTTTGATTTCTTTTTAAAAAGATTTTTGGTATTTTTTTATTATTTTAATAACCTGATGTTAAAAATAAATTTTAAAACATAAAAAATATTATTATAATATATTTATAAATAAAATAATTTTAAAAAATAATTTATACCACATTACCGACCAAACAAGTTATTAATATTTTTCACAGTGACTTGTAAGGTAGTGTTTCGTATTATAATAATATTTTTTTTAAATATTTTTTGATTAAGAATATATTAAAATAATATTTTTTATTTTTAAAATTTATTTTTAATTTCAATATATTAAAATAATTTAAAATAAAAAAAAATCTATTTTAAAATAAATAAAAAAAATACTTTCTAAATATAAAATAACTATTAATAATCACGAGTATTATTTAAATATAACTATTTGAAAATGCGGTTTAACTCATATTTTAAAAAATTTTAATTTATTTTTTTAAATTATTATTTTTAAATAATTTTGATGTGATATTAAAAATAATTTAAAAAATTTATTTTAATATATTTTTAAATTAAAAATAATTTTTTAAAAAAAAACCGCAAGACTCCTAAATATAAATTATCCTCCAAACTTTTTATCATCTAAAGATGAATAACTTGTAGAAGGCGATGTTCCCCTACAATGAATACAAGAAATGCGGGCTACTCTCCTTTCCTTACTGGGTAACAAAGAAAAGGCATCATTGTGTGGTGCCGGGAACCTGGAGTTATTTTTCCCCTGAAAGTACACACTGAGAATATTGTTACTCCTCACAGTTCGTTCATTTTATTATGGAAATGACACGTGCTGCTCTGGTTTTGGTTTTCCCCTCCAAGCTTATTTGTTTCTTAATTTTAAAAAAATTTAACACTTTTTTATTTTTTATTTTTATTTTAAATTAATATATTTTTAATATTTTCATATTAATATTAAAAATAATTTTTTTAAAATAAAAAATTATCAACACCTATTTAAATATAAAACAATATTTACAAAATAACTATAACTATATTCTCAAACAAACCCCACATTCTCCCCTGATTTTGATCCAACGACCCGGTTTTATAGTTTAAAGATCCTGACAGTGTCACAGTCCAATTATCACGCAGAAGCAATTTTCTGTGCAACGGGGATTGAAGTGCATCCATTCTTGTGCTCTGCCTGTTTTCCCAGTGACCCTTGCTGGGAGCGTCTACTGTTACGGAGGATGGGTGGCCTGTTCCGTAAAAGAAAGAGGGTATTTTTGGAATAATATTTCTAGTATTGATATTTAAATAAATATTCTTAAAAGAATTTCAAATACAAAATTGATTTTAAGTCTCGAAAATAATTTTAATTTCAAAGATTCCAGTCGGATAACAAAAATATACCGAAATCTCTTTCAATAGTTATTGCAAATTGGAGGACAAAATCCAACAAAATTGATTTTTTTTAATTTTAAACAAAATCAAAATTAAAATGGAACTGAATCAAGTTAATGGGTTTGGTTATTGTTAAAACCCAAGCCAAACAACTTTCTTCAAAATTTATTTTTTAAAACAAAAAATGATTATATATTTGATCTTCATTTCTGTAGTTTAATTTTCTAGTTTTGTTTCCAAAATATAAAATAAAAAAAATTAAATAATTTTTTTAAAAATTTTCTTACCGTTTTTTTGTTTGAGATCTCAAATTTATTTTAATTAATTTAGATCATTCTATATAGATATTGTGCTCCCTGCTTTGTTGGAAAAAGGTTCTGGCCAAAACGATGGCGTCTAGCTATTGATACAACAAAAATGCAGCGCTTTACGAACAATAAGAGAAAAAAGATAAAAAGTGGGAGTGAAGGTGTCCTGTGCTGTCCTCCCCTCCTATTTCAAAATGATAGCCTAAAATTAATTAACTAATTAACCCTAGAAAAGGTAAAGTTACCTCAACCTTAACATTAATCCAACCACGATCCTTACTCAGGTCAGTAAAATTCGTTTAGGCGGGAAACAAGTCCCATAAATTTTTACCGCCCCCCCTCCCTCTACCTTCTCCATTCAATCTCTCACTCCACTTCTCTCTCCGCAAAATGACAGACGACGAGAAGGAAAAAGGCGTCGTCGTTTTGGACGACGACTCTTATTTGAAATCGGAAATCGAGAAGATTCGTGGACGATGGGAACTCGCTACGGTCCTTAATTTTTTGAGCGTAAAATGAACAAACTGCCCCCCCCCCCCTCTTTGTGTGTTTTTTTTCTTAATAAATATTTCGTGTAAAATGCTGGAGGTTTCTTTTTACAGGTTTTTCAGCCAGTCATTGGGGTTGATTTAAAGTTAACGGCAGAGGAGATTGAGAGTGCTCTTGTTGAGCCTAATAAATCACTTGCTCAGCTTCACATTAAGCTATTAAAGGTTTTTTATTTTTATTTTTTATTTATGCTTGCTTTGATTATTATTATAAATAAAATAAAATTAGCGAAGTAATTATCCGTTGTTATACATTTTTAATTAATTAACGAAACAATGTTTTTGATTATCATGATGTTTGCAATCAATTGATTCTATCACGATGTATAATTTATGATCTGGGTGAAAAATCATCGCACGAATCACGACATAAGATAATCACAGGTCTTGCTTACCGGGCTCACGAATTCAATGGCTATGATTCTTTTTTGTTCTTGTGCCGAAAATGTGTTTTTGTAATATCTGGTGTAAATGATTCAAACAAAGGGAATGCGTATTTTGGCTATGAGGGCATTGCATGCTTATCGTGTATTTGTTTGTGTGTTTTCCTTTATTTTGTGCATCAATGTATTTGACGCACCGAGGAAGCTGTGCTGATTTTTAGCATTGAAAATCATGCGTGTGGATGTTATGATAGATAATTGATTCATATAATATGCCATAAAAAACAAAAGGATAACGCTATATGACATGAAAGTATCTCATGGAATCCCACATGAAAGGGCAAATCGAATGGTTATGGGCCTTTTGTGCAGTGATCGATGTCATTAGTTTTGTGTATGTTGCACTTTGCAAAGTGAGAAGGATTGGCTTTGCCTTCACGTGGTTTGCATTGCTTGCTCTTTAACTTGGAATTTTTTCCATGCGGATAATATCTTTATAAGTTTTTTTATAAATATGGATTTTTCAACAGGGGATACCGCCTGTGAGTAAAACATTGAATGCATCTGATGCGTGGGTGACCGAGCTTTGGAAGAAACTAGCCATGTGGTGGCCACGGGTATGTGGCTTTTCAACTTTCAACTGTGTAGTTAGGATTTTCATACAGTTTTGAATTTGCACTTATTAGTAGTGTTCTCCTATTACAGGTCGCTGAAGGCGAGTTACCACTGAAGGCAGCCAAAGGGTATCGAACTACTGAATATTTGTCTCATATCATTTCCTAAAAGATAGGTTTTCAATTTTTTATTTAGACTTGCTCAGGTCATGATGGTTTCTTGCTGTTGTGGCTTGTGCAGAGATGAGATGTCTGGATACAAGGAACTAGATCCAGCTAATAGATTGCTGATTTTGAAAGCACTCTGTGAACTAAGAGCTAAAGTAACATGCCTTGCCTTTCTGATTAAACATATGTTGGAAGTTGTTATTTGTATTTTGTTGACTGGATGATCTTCTAAATGTTTATATTTCTGATTTCTACTTTTGCATTCGGTACGCTTTTAGGGTATTTTATTTTGCACAATCTTGGCTTTTTGAAGACATTGTGTTTAGTGGATAATCAAGTTCTCTATATAGGTGGATGCATTTAAGATGAATTAGCTGTGCAGCTTTTTTCACGCTTCCTTGTTATCTGTTGTAAGCCATTCTTTCTGTTTACAGCAAAATGACATTGCATCATATGTTAACGATTCTTTGAAAGATGGAACTGAAATTTCTTATTTCCGGAAAGATAAGATTGGGGGAGATGGAACTGCAACTTCTTACTGGTAATTCTTGAGCATGTTCTGAATTTTATATAATTTTCTGTGCAAAGTGTTGAAAATACTAACTGTGCTCTCAGGTATGATGGAAATTCTGTCATTGGCCATAGATTGTACAAGCAAGTAAACAAGACTGGGGCAAATAGTAGAATGAGGGGTAAAGCATCAAGAAATCAGCCAGCTACCTGTTTCCAATGGGAAATACTTGCAACCAATCTTGAGGAATTTCAGAAAGTTGTAGTAAGTTTAGTATTCCCCTGTTTCAACAACTGGAAATTTTAGTTTAATTTGTTTCTTGTTGGTAACGGCAGAATGAACTCTCTTCTAGCAAAGTTGCCGCACAAGTTGCAGCTGGCAAGACCATTGAGACTGATGTCCTGCCTATTATACAGAAATTTCAGAAGGTAAGCTTATGGATTTCTCTTATAATTGTTTCTTAGTAGTGTGGGTGTAGTCACAGTTTTATTATGCACTAGTTTATTTATCTTTCACATTGATGGTAAGTAATCTGTCACTGTCATTGTATTCAATAGAAGAAAGATAGGGCCCTCAAACAAAAAGAAAGGCAAGAAAAGCTCCTGAACAGTTTTAGACCCTGCACTGCTGGGGTTACTCGTTCCTGCCGCAGTCGTAGACCTATCAGTTATACATTTGGTATGATGTTTTCTTGTCTGTATTCATTTTCATGATCTGGTTTTGGCACAATCATCTTTTGTTTGTCTTTTGCTTCTATTTCACTGTCTTGCTGAACTACATCAAATATCTAATTATCATATAGAGCCAATTGAACATTTTTAGAATTATATAACTGCCTCCCTGTTGTCAAGTGCGTTACTGAGCTTCTATGGGAGCTCAAATCATGGATGAGATGGAGAAAAAAGCCACAAACTGAACGATAATTTTCTTGGTTATTTGGGTTTCAGTTCACTTTAGTTTCTTGTTTGATTCAAACATATATTTTTTTATCGGAGAAACTTGATTGTACTTGTGAATTATTTATAATTAACCTCTTGATTTGCGATCCAATATGCAGATGACTATGATCGTGCTATTGATGAGGCTATAAAAATAACAAAGTAAGACTAGATGCAATTGACTGTCATCACTGCATTTCTATATTTCAAACAACATTCTTTGCTAAACTTGTTCTTAAATTCTCCAACATCTTTGTTTTATGCATTTTGTCCCTCATATTGAGAACAAGAATTCATGATCTTTTCCATTGTTGACTTCAATTTATGATCCAGGAAAAGGAAAACAATTGAAGAGCAGAGCAACAATGGCAAACATGTTAAGCAGGAAAAAAATGCTTCTAATGGGGGTTCAAATATGGGCACAAATTCAAAAGAAAGTCATGGTGAAATAGGTGATTCAGGCATGAGTGCAGACTCCAAAGATAATATCAAGAAGGGAAGCTTCTCAGAGAGTGAAAATGAAAGTGACAAGCTTCATGAAGTGGTTGATGACGACGACGACTATGATAGCAAAAGGGATCATGATAATGGGAGTGGATCCGACAAATCTGACAAAGAAAATGAAAATTTTGGTGACAAGAACATTGCTAGGAAGTTTGGTTCTCGTTGGAGTTCAAGACTGGCTGGAGTTCCAAGCCATCCTGCCCTCGAAGCTGGGAACTTGGGTAAAAAGAGTAGGTTGAGACAAAGACCCACTCGTAACTCTGCCCTTGACTCTAATAATGTGCTTGATTCAGATGAAGGAACTTTGTCAAAACATACAAACAGAGAGATATCTGGATATGAAGACTCGCCTCCAGTTTCTAATTCAGATGTGGTATGTGACAGTTAAAGCTATCAAGTGGAATCAACATGCAAGTGATTTTCCTTGAATTTTTTGTTGAGCGAGGAAATATCTTCACAGAAAGATATCTTGAAAGTTTTGAAAATGTGCTAATCCCTGTATTCCATATTGGAATCCAAACTCTAGTTTGCAGCCTGTGCCTTTTGTTAGAATTTCTTGAGAGGAAGATGCCACGCAGAGAGTTTTAAAGCTACCACTAAGTTGGCATTGGCAGATTTCGTAACCAATGTAAGTTAATTTCTCTGCTTAAATGCAATCGGTTCTCTGTTTAACCGGGATTGTATATAATCCTTTGATGTTCCCTCTCTAGTATCCAAGGATAGCTTATGTATAATCAGCTTCCTAATGGCTTGTGAAAAATAAAAGGTGGTAGGATAATTGGAAACATGGGATTTCTCTAATTTTAGGACTTTCAGATGGATACAATCACCGTGTAGCTCTAGAATAACGGGCAAATTTACTTTTTTGACAGGCTCCCTGAAACCCTAATCTTTTTCTGATAGTTAGCAGGGTTCAGAACATCACTTGAAAGCAGCACTCACTCTCCAAATAGAGATAGCATTGCTTTTTTAACAGTGCTGAAGGTTGAAAGTTACTTCCATTATATAGCCAAAAGGTTAAGCTGACCTTCAAAATGAACCCCAAAAAAGGGCCTAATTGTAAAGAACAAACTGAAAACGATGGATTAGAGAGATGATCGGTATCAAGGACATAAAGTGGTTTGATACAAAACTCAATAATAGATTAGAGAAAAGGTGCCAATTTGCTCGTAGCTCAGCTGGTATTGCTTGTATAAAAAAATCTTGAACTAAAAGCAATTATCTTCTCTTCCCAGCATTCTGCACACACGACTGAGCCTGACCCTGCACAGCTTCTATGTTCACGTTTTTCAAATCCTGGCCGACGCCTGTCAGATTAAAGCTCCTTGAATTCAAGCCCAGCAAATTAATCAGCTGCAAAAACAGAGCAAAAAAGAGCATGTTAAAGAGATGAACAGCTGAAATGTGTGTTTCGACGTGGAGAAAAGAGACATGGATTAAGAGTGCTCTCAGTAAGACTTGCATTTGGATCAGAAAGTTCATGGGATATCTGTTCACATCTTATTATTAGTCTCCTAAGATTAGGCAATCCCCTGAGGAAGGAGGCTATGGTTGGGATTTGGTCTGCAAATGAACCATTGGTTAGTAGAACCAAGTTCTGTAGCTTCTTGAAAACTATCGGAGAATCATTCTGCATAAAGAAAATCTGCAACATCAAAAACGCCTATGCTCATCAGTCCTCTGAAAAAGAAAACAAAAATGGTAATGCTATGTGAAAAAAGAAAAAAACAGGAACAGGAACAAAAGGTATAAGGAAGTACCTCAATAGGCCACGTGTTTATACTCAAGGATCTGGCTTCACTTAAACACTGAAGGAACTTGGCAGCACAGTAAATTAAACTCTTTGAATGCTTGCACCGACGATCAGATTCCTCACTTCTATGCCGACAAGTAGGCTTAATATGAATTCTTGCGTTCAATAGCGACACCATGCCCTGGTTCAGATAACTAAAATCTACGGGATCTCCAGTCCACGATAAATCCTTGAGTTTGGGAGCAGAAATTGACAAAGGAAATTCATATGAATAAGCGTCTGATGAGCTTACATTCAATGTCTCAAGGTTTTCAGCCTTCATAATAATGCGTCTGCAGGGACCAGCACCTACTTTGATCTCTTTTATTGGCTTGGAGTATTGGGACCCAATTTCCAGGGAGCTAAATTTGCACTCGGATAGAGTTAAACCTCCAAGGGAAGAGCTTTTGATGTTCAGAAAGCAAACATTTGCAAACCTGCAGCTGCTAATCATGGCATGGATAAGAGATGGACAATCAACCAGGAGTTGGCATGCTTCAAGGAAATTAGACCCGCAGACTTCAAGAGTTTCAAGAGACTCACAATCTATCTTACAAACAAAAAATCTGCCAAACTCAGAGTCCTGGACTGTCAGATTTTCCAGAGATCGACAATTAAGGTTAACATGCCACAAGGCTTTAAATTGGCACCTGGATATTGTCAAGACCTTAAGAGATGAACAAGATATGTTAAATTTCCCATCAAAGAAACTATTCGGAAATCTGCAATCACTTATTTCCAGCTCTTCAAGAGATGAGCTTGTCATAGTGAGATCACTGATACCATCAACATTCTCAAGAGTTAACCTTTTAAGACATTTACACCAATCCGAAATTCTTTGTCCAAAATATTTATCCCCCATTGTTACTGAATCTAGCCATAAGTCCTTGAGCCAGTCAAACCCTAGTATTTGAAAACTGAACCTTCCCATCTGCAAATTCAATTTCAAAGCCCTCAAAGATTCACATTTATAAACACAATCCGGCAAGGAATAGCCTCTTAATGAATCTACATGGACTAGCATGTCAAGTTCCTCAACACCACACCTTGTAGCAACAGTAACCCATGAATTAACAACACTCCCTCCAATATCAAACCTTCTTTGCTTGCAAAACCAGTGAACAAGCAAACGTATTAACCCTTCTCCAGTCTTTTCGCGCGATCGCAGAACTTTATCGACATAAGAACAGAAATCAGTATACCTTGTTCTTAAACAGCTATGATCAGAACCAGAATCAAAATCCGCAACAAAATTCAAGTAAGGGCTAGAGAAGCATAGTTTTTTAAACCTTTTCGATACTAAACCAAGACGTGCAGTATCATTAGCTCCAAGGAAGGAGAATATATGATAAATAACTTGGTCTGGAAGACCACTCAATCTATCATGCGTACAAGCAAGGACACGAGTGTCTTGATCAGAGCTCATTGCCATCGACTTTAATGGACTTTCCATGCACCTCAGTGCATAGAATCAACAAAAACAACAGCACCCACTGAATTAAAATAAACGCGAATCCTAACATCAGTAAAGAATCAAGATTATAAAGAACAAGATACAAGAAAACAATCAAGTTCTACATACACACGCCTAAAAGAGATAGTGCTATAATTTCATGAGAATAAGAAGAGAAGCACCTGAAGCTGCTGGTGTAGACCTTGTTCGAGCGAGCTAAATTTCTAAGATGGTGATCTTTGCTCGAAAGTTTTAGTGTTTGAGCGCAACCCATATACCTCTGTAAGTTTTTATTTTTTATTTTTAGTTGCATTGGAATATTCTTGGGGTAGAGGGGGAGGCAACGGAAGTCACCTTGAGGTTTCTAGGATTTTTATTGTATACGACAGGTGACTCACGAAACCCAAAAGCAAGGGGAGTACGTTCAATTCTTGAGCAAGGGCTTATGAGGATTGGCATTTTTTTTTCTGTTTTTTTTCATGGAGATGTTGAAGATGAAAAGAAATATGTTTTTTTTTTTTAATTTTTTAAATAAACAAATTTATGTTTTTTATGTTTATTTTTTTGTCATAAACATTAACCAAATGCCATTACGGATATGAAATTTAAAATATATTAGCAAAACATTAATTCATCTAAATTTAATAATTTGTTCTGTCTGTTTTTTTTTTTTCCCTAACAATAACGTGTTCACCCTAAGGTTATTATATTTACCTTAAAACCACCTACAGACTAATAATTAAAGAGTGCAAAAATATACATATAATAATTTGAAGCATCACCAGCCCCAATGGTTGACTGTATCTGAACGTGTTTATATTTTGTATTTATCTATTTTGAGAATGTAAACGTCTTGGCTATGATCTAAATATTTTAAAACACTAATTTTAAGGTTTCGATGCGTGAGTTTAAAAAATCACGATTTTATTTTACCAGAAATTAATAATTACGATTCATGAACTCCTCTTCAACGTCTGCTCAACAACCCAATATGAACTCATTGAAGAATTTAATTCATAATTATTGAGGAAATTAATTTATGGGTTTTTTTTTAAATTATAGTGACGATTATTTTTTAAAATATTTTTTATATAAAAATATATTAATTATTGAGGAAATTAATTTATGAATTTTTTTAAAAAATATAATTGCGGTTATTTTTTAAAATATTTTTTATATTAAAATATATTAAAATAATATTGTTTATTTATTAAAAATTATTTTTAAAATCAATGTATTAAAATGATCCAAAATATATAAAAAATTAAATTTTTTAGAAAGTCAGTCTACATTCTGTTTCTATTTTTGATATAAAAGGGAAAAATAAAGTTTTTTTTAATAATTAATTACCTCTCTAAATTTAATATAAATAGACATAATTTAGTGATTATGTAATGGTAATTTTATTCAATGAAACATATTCGAATTCCAATAACTATATTCTATTAAATAATTATATAATAGAGGAGAATTACCTTCATTGCATAGCAGCACAAGTAGCGTACGTGTTCTGTATTACAGCCCATAATAATTTTTAAAAATATTTTTTATTTATAAATATATTAAAAAAAATTAAAAAAATATTATTATTTTTCACATCCAAAGCATCAAAAACACTAAAAAATCTATCCATTTAATATTTTTTTAAATGAAACCACTCCGGAAACACATAGAAAAACAGCAACTACAACACTCCCGGGCACTACCAAAACCCAGAAAAAAACCTTAAAATCCAGAAACCTTCGTGAAGAAGGAAACCATATTATACTGTTAAAAGGGTTTAATAGCCACAAGAAAGAAAAAGCTTCAATACAAAAAAAAAAAAGAAAAAAAAAAGGAAAAGAATTCAAACAATACGCCTTTTGCACTACGTTAAAGCATCCAGCTCATTTCAGTACTCATCTGTCTCCCCCATCCATGGAACAGATTGCTTTCATGTTGTGGTGACAAGGGACGCTTATTACTCAGTGATTTTCCTTTAAACGAAGTCAGGTGACTTTTTGGAGAGAAAAAAGAAAACATAATTCATTATTTATTTGAGTCTTTTTTTTTAATTTCTAAAATATTTATTAGCGATGCAGCCTCTCGATCTAATGATGCTGAAATCCGAAGGCTGTTTGCATGAAAACCATTTGACCAGGCGATGGATAATTTAAATCTGTCAAGAGCCTCACACCAGAAAAATAACACTGATACGTTCCTGCTGGCAGAGAAGTGGGTCGCTCGATGTTTTTAGAGCAACTTGCATTTTAATATTATTTCCCTTCTCTGCTTTCCATCAAGATGATTGCAGCCAAAAAAATAAAAAATAAAGGGAAAGAAGATTAGATTGTCAAGCCATGTATTTATGCTGGATTAACCAGCTATAAATCAACACCGACATCACTTTTATGTAGTTGGTATCGATATTTTTCCAATTAATATAACTATTTCCATGTTAATATTCTTATATAGAATAATAATATATGATATCGGTGGTCACGCGATATTGCGGGTTATCCCAAATTTTTTTCAATAAAAAAATTATTTAGAAGATGGTTGT